CATAGGGAGAGAGGAAAAAGGGAAGTGTTAGTCCAGAGACAGACAGGCCTTACAGTACCAGCTGGAGCTTGTACCTGGCGCTTTCTGGGTAAGGGTTGTTTGCATTCAGTTGGATTGGAGTGCAGACAGCATTAACACAAATCTGTCCGAAACACCTTGCAGTCAAACCAGTTGCTTAGTTTTAAACTGTGTGTAAACCCCAGATCAGTCTCAACTTGTCAATTTTAGATGGGGAAGAATCCACTGAAGCTGTTACTCGTATATGGTCGTTATTCACACAGATACATATCCATGTTCTTATGCTTTAGAAACATAGGAAAGAAACTCACCTGGTCTCTATGAGCTGTGTCTTGTCTAGTCTCGTGTCCCAAGGCAGGAGGATTGTAGATCACGTAACTTAAAACTTTGATTCGCAGAAGTGTCCCTGAGCACTCTATTAGGGGTCATCTGTGGGGTCACCCTCACTGCTGGAGAGTTTTCGGAAGTGTAATCTGAATCTGGTTCACACTCTAGTCCTTTTCATTCTGGGCCTGTAAGAATTAGAATAAATTGCTTTTCAATTTTGTCTTTTGAAACTGATTTTCTTATACTTTTGCCTCATTTTAGTCTTCTCCAGATTAAACAGCCCCAGGTTGGTTTGTTGGGGTTTTTTTTATTGTCTCCTTATAGGTAATGTTTTTACATTTTTGATTGGTTTGGTGTTTCTTCTAGAATATTTCTAATTGACCTAATTTGTCTTGAGGTATGATGCTTAAAATGGATGCTCTGCTCCGGCTGACATTCTTCATTTGCTGTACATACAGTATGTTGGCTTTATATATGCCATATGTCCAGAAGTTTTTCACAACAGTAGGGCACAGACTCATGCTCAGCATGTGGTCTGTGATAACTCCCATATTACATTCTATGAGCTGCCTGCCAAGCCACTGTTGTATTTGTGCCACTATTTGTACTGTTCTTCATAATTTAGAAAAAGTAAATGCGTTTTCCTTACTTCAGACCACTTACCAATTTGTCAGGGTCATTTAAAACTTGAGGGGCCTCTGAAGAGCTTGCAGTCCTGTCAGGCAGGTATTGGCAGCACATTTAACAAGCACATCATCATGTTAACCAAGTCATTGATGTGAATATGGAACAGTATCTGACCTTGTGCATTCACTGCAAAACCTCAAACCCCACTTGAATCATCCTTTTTGATTTGATTTGACATGATAAGTAGTCCTGGAATACAGTTTTCTAACCAGTTGTGCATGCACGTTGCTGTAAAGGTCTAGACCATGTTTCATAATCTTGACTATTTCAATGTTATATGAGTTTCAAAAAACATTACCAAATCAAGATCTATCATATTTACAATTTCTTGTTTTTCCCTAAGACTAGTCTAACCAGCTGGAAAAGGAAATCATGTTGTTCACAAATCCATGCTAATTTGATTGATTTTTTTACATCCTTCTACAGTTTCAGAGTCTATTTTCATATTTTTCTGGGAATAAAAGTGAAGTGAAGTGATTGCAATTCTCTGGAGTTGGGTTTTTTTTCAGGATGCATGCTGGTTATCTCTTGTGATTGCTTGTACTGGGTCTGGCCACGATGGAGTTAACTTCCTTCATTGCAGCTCTTGTGATGCCATGTTTTAGATTTGTGACCAGAACAATACTGATAACAGACTAATGTTTTAGCTGTTTCTGAGCAGTGTTTACACAGCATCAAGGCCTTCTCTGTTTCTCACTCTGACCCTCCAGCAAATAAGATTGGGGGTGCACAAGAGATGGGGAGGGGACACAACCAGGCGGATGACCTGAACTAACTAAGGAGATCCTCCGTGCCATATAATGCCATGCTAAGCAACAAAAGGGAGAGGAAGGGATTTAGGGAGGTTAGCCATCTTTTGCTTGGGAATTGGCTGGGCATTGGTGTGCCTGTGGGAGGTGGTGAGTGATTGCCATTGCTTTGGTTTGTTTTGTTTTCTTTCTTTCTCCCGCTTCTCCTTTGCTTATTAAACAATTTTTGTCTTTACCCACAAGAGATGTTTTCTTGGTTTTAGTGTTCCTTCCCTCTTCCATCATCCCACTGGGGCCTCTGGGGGAGAAGTGAGTGAGTGGCTGCTTGGGATAACCTACCAGGGCTAACCCACAATAGTCCTGTTATGTCCAAGAGATACTTAGTAGTAGTACGGCCATGGCACTATGTAAAAACACGTTCTTTATGCTGTCCTGATTCAGTCAGTCTTCAAAATAATGTGGTTTGGTTTTGGGGGTTTTTTTTCCTTACCATGTTACTGTCATATTTTAGGGATTTGGGGTATTGGAGTTGCAACCCAGAAAGCAAACCTGAATCAAATTCCACTTGGTCGAGATGTCCATAGCCTGGTGATGAGAAATGATGGAGCTCTCTACTATAACAATGAGGAGAAAAACAGACTACCAGCGAACAGCCTTCCTCAGGAAGGTGATGTGGTGGTGAGTTCCTTAAGGCTTCTTTACAAAACATTATGAAAATAAGTTGAAGGGATCTTTGCATTTCAAAATAAAACCAGTATTAAAAACTTAATCTAAAGTCAATGTGACATCCTTTCAAGAAGCCTTTAGGAGAGCTGAGACTTGTATGATAGAAACAAAGGAGAATTCAAACTTGAAACTTACTTTCCTGCTGTTCCTAGATTCCTCTTATTTACAGCTCTATGGTCAGACTGACCATTTCAGTACAACTATTCAGCTTCTATCTCCCAGTTTGGGAAGTGCTGATACAAACTCCCATTGTGTTTGGATGGATCAGCAGCCTGGATATCAGTGGACTTTAGTTGTCTTCATTCTCATTGATACATTTCTGAATGAGGGACAGACTTTACCAGTGTTTGAAAATTAGCCTCCAATGCTCTCTTGCAGTCTGGTTGCGGTATCTACCTGACAGATCCTATGTTGTTTGAGATGGGAGCTTCCTGAGCAAATAATGTGCTGGAATGCATTACAGAGCTATGTGTCATGCCCAGCCAAACTCAAGATCCTGTAGCTAACTGGTTAATGATTAGAAGGACAGAGCTGAGCAGAGATAGGTCCTGGATGATAAATGAATTGTATTTTTAGCCAAACTTTTGTAGGGAAGGTGAGATACTGAGTGGGAAAGGGGAGTAATGCTCACTGGGAAAATTACTAAGAATGAGAACATATGGAGAATCTTAAGATTTTTTTGTACCTTACTATTCCAGGTTTCTCAAACCATCTTTAAGTGACTTTGTTCAAAAGGTTGTGTTCTGTTGCTGTCATTTCCTCAGTGTCCTGTAGCCATGGTCAGAAATTTCATCTTTAGAAGCCCCAGGCAGCTAAGGTGACGCCTCCATCCTTTACCCTCGGATACTATGTTATTTTTTTAATTGCCTTCTGGAATTGTTCTTTTGGATGGTTGCAGAATGTTTCAACATTTGGTCAACCTACATTGACCAGCTTCAACGGGGCTGTAACTGGGTGGTCTTTAAGGTCCCCTCCAAACCAAACCATTCTGTGAAAGGTAGCTGATGTATTACTGCTAACTCCCCAGCTTTCATTTATTTTATGTCACAAAAATACATTTCTGAAGTACTGAGGGACAACACAAATTGTCACACTCAGCCATACCAAAACAGTGACAAAAGTCATTTACCTAACAAGTAATTTATTACCTTGTTAGTGTTTGCTTTCTGCTCTGTAGTTGACATATTTATAGTGTTGTGTATGAAACTGTGCTGCTGGCAGAGTAAATGTGCTGAGAGAGGTTTTCGTATGGAAGTATGGACAGATCACTCTTTACTAAAGTTATTTCCATGAGGAGATATAAACAAGAAGACCACAAACTGCTTAATATTGAAATAATTGAAAATTTTATGTTTCTTTAACATGGTGAAGAATAGTTTGGAAATTTGTTTTGTAAATTCAGTAAGATGCGGTATGCAGTACTGTGCTGCATCCAGACTGAGTAAGCATTAAGGAATCCTGAGTATTTGCAAATACAAATGCTGCTGGTCATTTATTAACTTCTAGTTCTTTGCAGGAATATTTCAAGTGAGGTTTTCTAGGATGCTGCAGTTTGCATAATGGTGGTAAAAGTTGCCTGGGGCTAAGAAAGCTAAATTAAGCAGCAGTCTTATGTGTAAGAAGTTGTTGATGGGATTTTTGTTAATTTTCTGTACTTTTAGGGCATTACATATGACCATGTAGAATTAAATGTATATTTAAATGGGAAGAATATGCATTGTCCAGCTTCAGGAATCCGAGGGACTGTCTACCCAGTGGTCTATGGTAAGTCATTTTCATACTGTTTCTTGGTATGGGTCCAAAAGGCTGGGGAGTTGCTGCACTCAGCCTGAAAATTGCCAGGTAAAGAAACTGAGAAGCAGATGGAAAAAAGAAAAACAACAAATTCGAACTAATGCAGACTTGTGCCTAATCTGCTTTCTCTCTGAAGCTTGATATTTATGCCTATGAATTTCACATACTTCATAAATGCATTCAGTGTTAGATGCAAATAGATACTGAATTGCTGTTTGTATTTTCTTCTGGAAGTAATAACTTTAATGTAGCACTAGTACAGCTGTTGCTGTGTGGTGGTACGGCTTCTTGCTGCTGTACCAAATCAGTGCCCAGTTTTGAAATCCAGCAGTTGGTGAGCAAATTGCGGTAGCTGCTTTGCTAGCAACCATCAATACAACACAGCAGTTTGAAGAAGAAACAAATACCATATCCAATTAATCCCTGCAAAGGCAGTTTAAGAAAGAATTTATGAATTATGGAAGTTGGAATTTGGCCAAGACATGTGTTAACAATTTACTTTTCCAGAACTTGGCGGTGGTTTTGTGGTTCCCCAGTAGTCAGAATTCTGTTTAACATCTCATCTGAAAGGCAGTACTTCCCCCAACTCAGTGTGTAATTAAAGCTATGCTTGTGGCTTGCAACTTCCAGCAAATGATAACTGCTCCTCGGATTCCCTCTGTTACACCTACAGCCATCTCCAGCTTATCTTTATTCCTGTGTGAGCTTCATCTAAAGTAGTAGCCTCCACCCGGATACCATTAGCTATGTGATGTGGCTAATTTTTTCCTTTCATGGTTGGTTCCTAATGAAGTGTGGTCGTGTTCCCATTGATACATTCATAATACTGAATTTTATGAGCAGGAAGAAAGTACTTTAGGTGTCTTGTAGAGCCTTTGAAGTCTATAAATGTATGTGACAAATTCTATCTTTCCAAGTTGTTCAGAGTGGGAATTTTGTCTGGTCATTGTGATGTATTCTGAAGCCACATGATGGCGCTGCTAAAAAGCTTTGGCGGACAGCAGCTGCCCTGCAGGATCTCCTTTGTGCAGAACCCTCCATGAGCAGCAGGAGGAGAGTTGCTGTGTGATAATTCATTGTTGCATCTTCCCTATATTTCGGAAGTGGTGTTACATAGCATGAAGGGTGAGGTTGCTTTCAGAAAACATTTGGTGGCATTTTAGCCTACTGTAAATCATCTTTCTCTCTGACTAAAGAAGTCCCATGCCTGGAGGATGCACTGACCTTTTATTGCCAGGCTCTTACTATCATCTTCCACAAGTGGGCATAATTTCATCATAATTATCATGTATCCTACTTGTAGCTAACAATTGAAGCCTGCAAATAATTTTTTTGTGCTACTTACTTAGTATGAACTTTAACTATAGATGTTCTTAATTTAATGTGAGCTACTTATAATCATGTGAAGGGATTTGACCACAGAGAAGAGAATTTCTCTAGCATTTACTCTATCCATAATTCAGACCAGAACTACAGATACCTTTTAAAAAGAAACATGATAGGGCAGGCAACACAGTGTCAAGCCTGAGAATGTAAAACAGAAAAATGGACTTAAAGGTTGCTCCCTGCAGCAGCACTTATATGGAAGTGAGATGCAAACACTGCATAAGTGCTGCAGAACTGAACAAATATACTAACTGGAGTTTTAACTGGGCCTAGGAGGGGAAAATTCTTACCTTGGCTCTGAGATATCTAAATTCTAAGCCAAAATACAGAGGTGAAGCGTTTCTGTTTGATTTAATATTGCTAGTGTACCAGGTTCATCTTGGAAGGAAGTTGTCTTGTTTTTCTGACTGGTTGGGTATTTCCATTTGCTAATGCAATATATGAAGTCTTTGCTCTGAAAATCCTCAGCAGTTTCTTTTCTATATATTACATTCAGTGTAGAAACACTTGTGTCTTGGATTATGCAGAGGATCCAACACTGGGAGAGGTATTGTAAAAAACCATTAACTTCTTAAAGAAGCAAAGAAGCTCTCTTTGGATCACATGCTAAGGCAGATGGTCTGACACCAACCATTGCAGACATCTGAAATCTTGTAAATCTCCAGAAAAATCATGGCACACAGCTGACACTCCAGCAGAATTAGGAAGTGGACAGAAAAATATGCAGCTGAAGAGGTGACAGCCCTGCCATGTGTGTCAGCAGTGTCCTTAGTCTGGAGATTTTTGGAGAAATATAGTAGAAGATTTGAAGGAAATGACCTGAAGCCCTGCTAATGCTTACAGTGAAATCAGAGGTAGCATTCCCATTGAGTGCAACAGGGACCATTACTGACTAAAGAAGACAGCAGGAAAGAGAGATGATTTGCTCTCCATGGGTATGTGTGTAGGGCTTTAGCAAATTCGTTTGGCAAACTTAGCATAATGGATGAATTGGAGAATATTCTTCTTGGCTTGGGCATGGTGTGTAATTTAGTAAGACAGTGTAGTAAAGGATCAACATGTAAGTGTTCCTTCTCTAATTCCTTCTTTTGGTTCTCTTCTGCAGTTGATGACAGCGCCATTCTGGATTGTCAGTTCAGTGAATTTTATCACACACCTCCACAAGGGTTTGAAAAGATCCTTTTTGAGCAGCAAATCTTCTGAATGTCTTCGTACTGAAAATTTGCACCCTGTACTGTTACAACAGCTTTGTCAATTTAAATAAAGCTTCACTTTATGTTTAGGAACCATATCTGTATTTTAAGTAAGTACTTGTGACTGTGGTCTGCAGAATTAATGTGTTAACTGCAACACCAGGTAACTGTGCTGCAAGTATGAGATTTCTGGCAATGGTTTGTAGTTGAAAATGAGTGTTTGGGGCACGGTTTTTCTCCAATTTGTACTTAATGCATAAGGATACTAAGGATATTATTGTCATCAGTATTACATTCAGTGTTTTGAATAAACTGGAGCTCTGTAAAGCTCCAGTTCATAAAGTTCTTATGCATACAATAGCTATGGAGATGGATGGTTCTCTTGATTATTTTTTTCCCCCAATTCTTTTCACCAGAAGTTAAGTGCTTAAAGGGAGCACTGTGTGTCCAGCCTGTGATTTGGAGTTATGGTGTCCCAGTTGTGCACAGTGACTAATTGTACAATGGCATAACTAGCAGATAGATACTTTGTTTGCAAGGGATTATTGATCCCATTCCCTCAGTCTTAGACAGGCAAATGTAACTTATTTATTTCTCCTAGCTTTTAATTTGCTTTTACTGTCACAAGTAATAATGACACGCTCCAGTAATACTTTTTTGTTGAACCTTAAAAATGAAACCTGAACACTACCTGTGTGTTTGAGGACCACGACACTGCGTTACTGCAGTAGGAGAGCAAGTACAGATCACTCAGCTTGGGTATGCAAAGAGCCAGGTGGGAAGGGTAGGAGATGTTGCAGTGAAGCCTTATATCTTAAACTGTAAGTTAGATTATTCTCTTATGGAATAGCATATTTAATTTCTTTGTGAATCATTTATGAACGATTGATGGCTAAGACATTGTTCTAAAATGTGATGCCCTTGAATATAAATTATGAGATGTTCTTTGCTTCCCTCTTGTCATATTTAATATACTTCCTAAAAGAATTTTTATTGTAAAGAAAATCTTCATACTGAATGTTTGTGTTCTGGGTTTTGCTCTTCCTGGGTTAATGCATTTGCATAAATGAATGATTTTATTTAAATATTTTTAGAAATTACCCGATTCTGGAATTTTCAAATACAGACAGCTTTCTCAAAGCCTTTCACCTTACAATTTTCTGCATCTGTCTTTTCATTAAGAGTGGTCCATGTTTTCTTTCCCTTTAGCCTTTCTATCAAATGACCGTGTTGGGTAGAACTTTTCAAGCTGAAAGGAACGTTGCCCTTGTCATCATTATGGTATAAATCTCTGGAGATTAGAGTGCAGTTTTATTGTCTCCCCTTAAAATCTGCTCTGCTTTGCTGAGGTTGGATACATAGAATCATAGAATAGGTAGAGTTGGGAAGGACCTTAAGATCATCTAG